CACAGCATGCAGGCTCTTCTAGCTGGCAAAAACGTAGAGCCAGTAGTGGTGATTGTTAAAAAATAATGTTCTGTAGGAGAGCATTTGCTCTATTGAATAGTGTTATTGTGCTCTTTGTATCTGTTGGGGTTTTTTTTTTCATGGAAAAGAAATAGGAGGCATTACTTTCACATCAAGTGGCATATAATGAATTTCACAGAGTCGCACTGAGATACAACCATATAGGTCCCATTAAACTGGTGAGAAATGCAGGGCCTTAATGATTAAAGATCCTGGAGAATGCATATTATGTGGAGATTTATTTTAAAGGAAACTCCTATACTGGATGTCATTGTTGCTGCAAATTACTGCTATAGTCCCAAGTTCCCAGTGTGGTACTTAGGGGTAAATTCTAATGTGCTGTAAATCCAGTTTTCAGGGGGCTATAAATTAGTACCTAAAATCTGAGGTGAAACTTGGTACGATGATTTTCAGCCCAGATGCCTCCTTCTCTCCTGAACTATATTTCCACAGAGTTTGAAATTTTATTCAGAACATTTGTGCCTTTCCTTAATTAAAGACTTTCAACAAAGATTATTTTCTAAATCCATGTTTCCCATGTGGACAATTACTAGGAATATTTGGATGCTATGTGTCTGTAGCCAGCATATGACCCAGTATCTTCATGGTTCTGAGGTCTACTTTGCTTCATTAGCTCACTATCCTGAGATGGCCAAGTAGGGTGTACTGTTGAAAGATGATAGCTGGACATGTGCATTAGTAGCTTTGTGATACACCTCCCATGTGTCAACAATGACACCCATTAAAGCAAAGAGATAAAATGGAAACAATTGCCCTAAAACCACAGTGCACCAAAGACTTCTCAGATCTGGTGCTGTTTCAGGGAAGGGACCAAGTGGTGCAGTGGTTATAGGTCCTGTGTAGTCCGAGGGCAGATTTAGCATCCTTGTCAGCTCTAGCCAACCTCTCTCTTATTTGACCTAAGTACAGACTGCAAAGTGACCTGTGATTAATTTATTTAAGATTTAAGAACAAGAACCAGAAATTACACGGTTCTTCTCAACATATTTTTGCTTTGCCTCTAGCAAATTAATCAAATGAGAACCCAATTTGTTTTAGATTAAATGAATTCCCTCTGTTGACTGTGATAATCCCCAGTTGAACCACCTTCCACTCCCTTGAAGCACTGTACTGTAACTTATTTAACTCTACAACTGTATTTATTAGAAGTGTTGCAGTAATGGTTTATAACTGGAAGGCAAGCAGCATTTGGCATTTCTACTCAGGAGGGAGGTTATATTGCCAAAATATCTCCAAGCCTTGGTTTTGGATCAGAGCTTTTGCTTTGTGCTAACTACTTAAAATATTTGATGTACTCCTGCTAAGCTACAGATAGCCACTTATTTTCAGCAGATTGCTGTGAGCTCTGAGTGCTGATCTGTTGCTGGCCTTCAAGGGGATTCTTGTAAACCCAATACAACAGGTCTCCAGCGGTCCTTCTCCTGTGCAGTTAAATACAGTTGGTTGTTCATGTGTTTTGCCCAAAGTTCTCTTTTATTAACAGACCCTCAATCTGCCAGAGCTCAGTAGAAGTCAGTGGAATAAGAAATGGCTTTTTTTACCAGCTCTTTTCTTTGTCTTTCTTATTCTAGATTACCTCTTTCAGCTGACAGCTCTGTAGAGCAGTCTGTAACTAAGCTGTGGATATCTTTTCAGCACTAAGGAGTAAATTTTTCCACCTAGGATGTAAAAATGGATTCTGCTTTGTTATCTGCTTCAGGGAGGAGTATGTTATTCTTATTTTGCACCTAAGAAAATATTCCTTGCCTACATATAAGTATACACCTATGTAGCAGAAATAATGCATTCATTCCAGTTGTCTTTAAAAAAGCAAGGGCTGAATTTAAACTGAAGTAAAATATTTCAAACTCAGAGTTTTCACAACATCAAACAAAGCTGTCCTATAGTGGTTGCAGCCACATTCAACTGTATGGACAGCACTGATGTAAAATATTATATCCTTTTTTCTTAGTGTTAGCCACAGATACTCAAAACTCATGTATTTCTTCCACTCTGATTTTTTATACTGTCTTTAAAACCATAAGGTATAAAAACATCTGGAGGTTTTCTTACTATTTACTTTCCTAATTGGTGTGTATTTTTTTAACCTTTGTAATTCATCACAGCCCACGTTTTCTCTGAAAAACCTACACATTTGCTTTTCAATGAAAAATTGGATTCTCCTGTATTTCCCAATTTCAAAGATATCACAGAGCTGTGACATTTTTGTACACTTTGTATGAATCAGGAAGGTTTTCAGCACTGGAACTTGTGGCAGAGAACTGAGCATTTGCCAGCTCGTCAGCACAGTGCTGCGAGGAGCAAGCTGGGGCAAATGGCTTTGCCTCAGGACTTACATTTATGGGCTTGTTTCCCAGCTTTATTTTTAATATTTCAAACACAGGTTTCTCATGAAGAACCACTAAAACTTTCAACACCTCCTACTCTCTTTTTTTCCAAGGGATGCAGCGCTGCTAATTTCTGAAAATGTAGTCTGATCTCATTTTATTCATTATCTGCCTCGCATCTTTATTTCCCTTAAGCTTGTTACACAGCAGTTAATATTATTCAAGATTATTTATATTACATTTGAAATATGTAAACACTGCATTTGCAATGTATAATTTGGGCAAAGGTCATAATGGTGGTTGTGACTGAAAGACCTCTGAGCTTAGACTGTTAAGGCTTCCCCTAAACTACTTTGTTGCCTGCTGCTAGACCAGCCCCTGGGATTAAAATAGATCTTATCTGATACCTGGATTTTAGAAACAGGAGGCCAGCCCATTTGCTGACAAAACTGGCCTAGCCCATCCCCACTTCATTTCAAATGCCACTACTGCTCTTCAAAATGAGAATTGGAAAAAAATGATCCCTAGCAAGCATGTAACATTGTAAATATTAAGAAGTACATATGTATATATATATATATGCACACATCCATATATATATATACATACATATATAAGAGTCCAGAGAAACAGCAGGATGACAAATGCCTTACTAGAAGTGAACACAGTTGGCCTACGTGTGAAAAACCAAATGGCTGATTTCTCCCTTCAGTGACTGACGAGAATAGAGGAAGGCCTTTGGCCCGGTCCAGTATTAAATGTGGAGGTTGGTGGCCCTGCCTGTGGTGGGGGGTTGGAGATCCATGATCCTTGAGGTCCCTTCCAACCCTGGCCATTCTGTGATTCTGTGAAATGCCCTTCAGAGGTGCAGGGCCCTCTGCTGCTGGCAGCAGCAGTGAAGGGATGTGAGGGCCTGAGACGGTGGGAAGGCACAGCCCTTGGCGTAAGGGGGGCCCTGGGGAGGAGGTGCATGGGCCTTGGAGATGTGGTGCAGGATTAGGCCACAGGGCTTCAGCTCGGCCTGGCTGCACAAGGCAGATATGGATCAGACAAGGCAGGTTATGCTCCCAAGAAACAGGAGGCGATTGTGTTAGCAAGAGAAGGCAGGAAGCTGAGGGCTCTGGCACTGATAACTTTTCTGTGCAGCTTTTATCTTTTGTGCAAGAGGGGAAGGCTTTTCCGGAGTAATTTACTGCTGGGATGAGAGGCTTGGCAGTTGACTCCTTGTGGTCACTTGGTTTATTCGTATTTGTCGTGTTTTGTCAGGTGACGTTGTCCTCAGATAATATCTGGTACAATGGTGAGGTGTTCTTTGTTAGAGGATAGTTGCTGCCTTCAAAATCAGGATGTGTTTGTTTTGCCTGAGGAGTGCCCACTGGTTCTTGCATTTCTTAAATGCACTAAAACAAGGGTGAAGATAGACAGGAGCACCTCTGGCAGTGAGCAAAATGAGTATTACCTGGTGAAGAATCTGAGTTTTGAGCTGTTTTGTTTAGACTTTGCTGAGCCTGGATGAGGGCCATATGTTTCCTTCACTTTTGAGTCTACCCTCCCACGGCCATGCTGTGTCCCATGTCAGCTGCAGTACCAGCCCGGTCTCACGATGCCAGCAGCTTGTTCATGCACAATAAGGCTGTGGACACCAAAGGGCTACTCAAGCTCAGATTCATTCCCATCATGCATACTTATCTGTTTGGAACCTGCTTTTTCACTGCAGCTCATTAAATGTTCCATTTTGGTGAATTCCTTGGCTGGCCTCTGTGCTTCTGTTTCTTTCCGTCCTTGTGTTGATGTAGGATCTTGATGGGACATTTGCAAGTGAGGCGTCTTTCTTGGCATTCAATGCAGCAAGGGTAGTGTGAAGGCTCAGCAAGCTGAAGCTCCATAGGATGCAGCAGCTGTGTTCAATGTGATGCAGATTTCTGCCTAGACTCTACTGCAGTGCAATCAAAAGCTCAAGAGCAGGCATATTTTGGTAGGGGCTGCTGTCAGATGCTGGTGTTTTCCGCATGGTAGGCTTGCAGCTCTTGGGAAATGATGCACTAGGTGCTGATTTAAAAGAGCCCTGGAGTCTTCCCCAGTGCATGAAATGGCGTGTGCAGAAGAGGAAATGGATCTCCTCTGTTTCCTTCTAGAAATCAGGAAGCAGGAGTTGGGCAGTGGGGCTGTACTGCTCTTCCTGGGAGCCAGGTTCCGGCAGCAGGCACAGCTCTCGCCTTGCCCTGCCTCAGCAGAAGGAAGGGCTGGGCTGGTAGCAAGAGACTGAAAAAAAAAAAAAAAAAAAAAGTAGTGAATGCATTTTTTTTCTGCTGATGCTAGCCTTTTCCTTTGAGTAATTGCTGCTGGAAGGAAGTAGAAAGAAATTAAGCTTCTGACAAAATAAATATGTGATTAATAGCATTTTGCTGCCTGCCGACTGAAGATGAGAACAAAAGAGCTGAAATATTTTTTGTCATCTGTTTGTATTTGTCAGTTCTCTATCCCACTGTTTATCAGATCTTGGGGTAAAGCTAATGCACCTGTAAGAAATTCTTCCCGTATTTTTCGAGTGGTAGTAGTAACCTGGTGCTCTGTCTTTCTTTCTGTCTCCAGACGATTTTGCAGAAGAGGAGGAGGTGCAGTCCTTTGGCTACAAGAGGTTTGGTAAGTGGCAGCAGGTCTTTCACTGCTCTGTGGCGCAGCACTTACCTTAAGAGAAGCAGCTGCTATTAAAGCCTCCTTTACTGGCCTGGCAGCATGACAACATGTAGGTACAGTCCCATCAACCCATTCAGTCTGATGTCTGGCCAGCAGCAGGTGTGATGAGAAGTCATCAGCTTTATTACTGGATCCTTGCATGAAGCAGTGTTATGAAAACCAACCCCCACACTTCATGAGTGTGCCAGCTGTGCATGTACAGAAAAGTACATGCCCCTGAAACTTCTGCTGCCCCTGCTGTGCTCTTCATAGACCCTAAATTATGCACAACATGGTCAGCTGTGGTCATATGGGACCTCTTCATGCTCTGCAAAGTCAGAATGGCTGAGCCAGGAACAATTCTGTGAGTTTATCTCTAAAAAAAAGGAGCAAAAGCTTATGGGATGATTGTGTTCTGAAGCAGTCCAGGTGATCAAAATCCCTTACCACAGCTTTACCTTCTCCTGATCTGGGACGTGGTGATAACTTCAAAACATGGTTAAACTCTCCTGCACAGTGTTTGAGACTTGAGCGTGTTCTTGTGCTTCTGTATACACAGGGAAGCTCTTGCTTCTATTTTCTCTTGAATGAACCTAAAGGTTTTACTTAATACATTGCAATGTAACCTTTTATAAACCACACCTTAAGCTAAGAATTCCAAAGAGATAAATTCTTAAAATCATATTGGTCACTCTCTTTTCTTTTTTTGATGGTGGTTCATTGAAAATGGCCTTGTCATGTGAAGGAAGTAGTGTTGTGCATCTCTCACAGCCCTCAAGGCTGGAACAAGAGTCATTTTCAAAAAGGAAAAGGCTGAACTGAAAAAAAAGAAAAGAGAAAAATGTCAATAATTCACCTCAAAAGAAGCAGGGGGAGGCACACTCTTGGCAGTAGGCGTACACAGAGGCTGAGAGGTGGGATCACATTCGCATGACCTCTTCCACCCCCTGAACTGCTGCATTGCTCCCTGCTGTTGAGCTTTATTTTGGGTACGTCAGCCAACCACAGAGCCAGCATCTGTGGCTTAGAAAGTCCTGCCATAAGGCTGCACATAGGTTTTTTCTGCTTTTTGTTTTATTCCTCTGGACTGGGCCCTGGAATAGCAAAAAAACAAAAAAAAAAAAAAAAAAAAACCTCTGAAGAACTAGGAAGAAATTTTAACTGTTCTGCATGTTTCCAGGGGTGCTTGTAGTTGTGTTGTGTTTGTCAGGGTGAAGGGAAGGTGAGCAGAGTAGCAGGGGCAGGAGAAGGATGTCAACACTTGTGGAGGTCCCTGGAAGGAACAACCAACTACAGGGCTGTTTTCCCTTCCTCAGAAAGACTGCCTTAATGTGTTCCCATTTCTACAGTGATCGCAGCATCTCCAGGCAGCCTCTGAGCTGAAGGTGATGCGCATCGTTTAAAAACCTAGATCCACTGACCAGTCACTTCCAGTACTTCCAGAGAAGCACTACAGGAGCAAAAATACAGCCAAGTAGTTCAGGACCCAAAACTGTTATGCTTGTTGTCCCAGCTTGTGTTCCTTCTTGGCCTTGCGTCCTCTCTGATAGTAGCAGGTTAAATTGTGAGCATTTGGATAATGAAAAATACTATTAAAGATATAAAGAAGAAAATAAACTTATTATTGGTAGTAAAGAGAAAGAATGAAATACTCCTTTCACATCACTGTGAGATTTTACTTTTGGCAATAAGGGATGTGATTTAGTGATGGGTCTCAGTAGGTCAGATTGACAGGCTTGATGAGCTTGGAGGTCCTTTCGCACCTACCTGATTCTATGGTTCTATGGTTCTATGATAGTTTGATTGGAGAAGCCCAAGGCAAGAACCAATCTTTGCTATAGAAGCCCTTGATAAAAGGGCATTTTGAAGGAGGCCTATCCTGTCTGAAGGCTGGTGCTGTGGAAATCAGCACTTTTTGCATACAGCTGCTGAAGCAGGCAGCAATAACAGCAGCAGTTGGTTGGTTGGTTCAGGAGCCATTCTGTATGAACAGCTGCGTGAGTATTTTGTGACTAGAGTAGTCCCTGTGTGCTCTGTTAACATGAGACAGAGTAGAAGGACCATGATTCAGGTGCCCTCGGCTCCATATTTTGGAAAAAGTAAGCCTTGTTTGGAGCAAAATGTGCTCCGAGAGGGAGATGGCTAAACCACAACTGCTTCATAAAGAACCCGTTTTGCAATGAATCACTGCTGGCAGCTGGGAACACATGTTGGTCAGCACTTGGCTCACAATCCTTGACTTCAACTGCTTTCCTAGAGTTCAGCTGGGGAGTTTATTATTAGCTGTCTTGTTGCTGGACCCTGCCATTTGCTTCAAGAAAGCAAGAGATGTGCTGAAGGGTGGAAGGCACACTCGGGCAATTCTCATTTTGGGAAAGAAGTATTTGAAAAGAAGATTGAGCAGTCACCATCCTGCCAGCATGCACTGCTCCCCATTTTCCTGAACATTTCTCTTCTTCCTCCTCAGATACACTAATTTCAGGGAGTGTATTGTGCTACTTTTTAGTCCACCAAACTCTCACTGGTTATATTAATCCAAACACACTGAGCATATCGCAGTAACATTTAAAAATATTCATCACAGATGCAGACAGCAAAGTCAACACCAGCGTGTGTTTACTTCTGAGTGCAGGACAAATTCACCACAGGGAGTCAGGGAGGCCGAGGAAGATGCTCTTTCCAGCTGCCTGGTGCTGTTTGCTTCTTCTCAGTGGGTGCTCCAGATGTGCAGGGATGCAGCCAGAAGGGCACTGTCCAGTGTCTCAGGTGCCCGTGGCTTTGGGTTGTGGTGGTGAGAACATAATGAAGGATGTTTCTTATTGCTGTTACTTCATCATAAGTCACTGCCAGGCTGCTTTCAAGTGATCTGCTCCAGATAACAAGTTGTGCCCATCCATGGTTTTCCTCTACCAGATTGTCATCAGTGTTAACCCTTTCCTTAGGCAATGCTTTTGGTTTGTGTATCCCCTACTTCCTCTTTCGGAAAGAAGGAATGAAGAGAGGGCAAAACATGCTTTTCAGAATTATAGGGTTTTTGAGATGCTAAATCTCAGGCTTGAGAGCTCAAATCATAGAATCATAAAGTAATAGAATCATTTGAGTTGGAAGGGACCCTTAAAGACCATCTACTCCAGCTCCCCTGCAATTAACAGGGACACATACAGCTAAATCAGGTGCTCAGAGCCCTGTTCAGCCTGACCTTGAGTGTCTACAGGACGGAGTATCCACCATGTCTCTGGACAGCCAGTTCCAGTGCCTCATTGCATTTAACATGAAATATTTTTTTCATTCTATCCAGTCTAAATCTCCCTCTTTTAATTTGAAACTGTTTCCCCCTGTCTTATCACAACAGACCCTGCTGAAGACTCTGTTCCTTTTGTTCTTATAGCCCCTTTTTGATACGGAAAAGCCACTATCAGGTCTCCCTGGAGCCTCCTCTTCTCCAGGATGAGCAGCCTGGTAGATATTAGGATGAGGTTTTGACTCTTCTCTGGCTCTGGACATCAATGAAGGCACAAGAATTAAAGGGAGTTAATGGACTTTTGAGGTAGCATGTCTGATCTAGTCAACTTGTGGCATTCCCAGGCAATAGATGCATAGACAATTGCCAATTTAGAATCTTTGTGTTAATGCTTTAGAACTTTAAACCTACACTTAAAAGAGCAATTAGTGTACAAATTTCAATGTGAAGTTATTCAATGAATAGTTTGAAGCTATACCACAACATGAAATAACTGGGGAAAAAAAGGGAGTGGTCTTTGAACTGATGTGAAGCCCAATTTTAATGTTTCAGAAAGCAGGCTTCCAAGAATAGAGCTGAAAGCCCTGCTGACAATGAGAAACCTCACAAGGAATAAAAAGACAGGGCCAGTACACTGCAGATAAGCAGAAGACTAAACAGTTTGTGTGAGATAAGGACCCTTTTTATGCCGTTAAGAAACATAGCCAGAGTTGGAGGCTATCAGTTTGTCCTCCATAGTAGGGCCTCCCACCTTGTCCCCTGTCCTCCAGACCATGAGCTGGGATCTTTCACCTCCCATAGGGTATGCTAGTCATGATGTCCAGTCTGTGCAGCAACAGTAACTTAGCTCCTGAGCATCATTCCAGTTCTAAGAATTAAATCTAGGTATTTCTAGACCAGAAATGGACAAATCATCTTGCGAGACAATAATGAAATCTGCTATGCTAGAAAGAGTTGAGAAAAATGCCTCTGGTTTTAAAGTATTCTTGGAAAATATGACAGTTTTTTTGCTGATAAGTTGCTGAGGGGCAGCTGAACTTGATCCATGTAATAACTGCTTTCTCACTTTATATTGTTTTGAATATTTTAGGCAGAGAGAAGCTATATATCAGTTGGTGTGTGTGTATATACAGGTGTATATTTATACCTTTGGTAGAATACAAATGGAGAATTTTAGGAGTTTAACAATAAAAGCCTTATGAATGGTTTACAGAGAAAAAAAAATTTGATATTTTATAGACTTTCAGAAAGAGCTTAATATGATATATTTTCCTGCCTGTAAGTAACAATTTAAATGTGATTATGGTAATCCTTCTTAAAACTTGTGGCTTGGACTTTTGTGATAGTTCAGGAATAACGTTAACTCATTAACACTGCACAGAAAGCCTAACTTCAGCCTTTAACCCTGGATAAACCCAGGCCATTGTTCACATCTGTAATACCACACATGGAAAAATGCCTGGCATCAGCTTGATGGTGAGCTACATCCACACAAACCTTAAGCCTGTAAGAAAAATAAATAAGTAAAGATCTAATCTTAAGGAATTTATCAACTTTTCTTTATGGTTTGTTTATGACCAGCAAGGGATTTCAGGTGCCACAAGCCGCAGAGTTCTCTGGGCATTCTTTCACATGTGTGCCTGTGACACACAATAGTGTGGCTCAGTAATAAGTCAGGAATCACTGTTGTTCATAAAGCCAGAGGAAAGTCTAGCACATTGCTTCC